TAGAAGTCATAACCTTTTGAAAAATAATGCCATAACCTCTTCATAAAATCATGACTTGTTAGAGTCTAACATTCATGCAAGGCAAGTAGATTTCTCAACTGTTAAACTGATGTACCTAGGTATGTCTTTGAACTGTTAGGGACGAAGATATGCCAATGTATAAAACACACATATATTCAGCAGAGTTACAGAAGTGTACTTTTTAGTTGCCCAAAAACATCTATTCTCCCTTAAAATACATCTGTCTTTAAATCATGCTTCCAAGAGAGAAAAATAAGTAGACTTCTTTAAAAAATAAAATAGTTGGTTTACTCATAAATTTCATACAGTCAGCATACAGGTACTTTGTTTATTGGTCCAGTTACAAGTAGGTTACACAGGGCATCTTTTTTAGAATCAATAGTCCAAAGCAGCACTCTGTTCTGGGAGTCTAATAGAGTCTATATCTAGCCTGAAAATCCAATTGAGTCTCCCTAGAGGCCCAAAGGTTGGGAACCACAGCTTTAAGCATACAGTTCCTAGTGAAGTCCAAAACAAACTCTTTCTAAAATGTAGTCTGAGTCCAGAACAAGTTCAGTTCTGATCACATGGTCTGCAGCCCCATCAAGAAACATAAAGGGAAAGCTGCATACCAAAACATACATAAACAATAAAGTAATCAAAACAGAATAATATACAAACACATTTCTAGTGGAGGCTTGAAGAAAGTTGCTACTGTATTTCCAACACAAATTCCTATGCACACTGCACATATCTTGTTTGTAGTGCAAAAAAAGAATAAAAATGAAAGAACAATATAATATTTAAAATAAAATGAATAAAATAATAAAACATTAAAAACCAACAACACTGTTGGTTTACATTGTATGCTTATTTTAATAATTAGATAAAATAATAAAGTTAACATTATTTCAGCGGAAGACCCCAGAGGCCATCCAGTCCAACCCCCTTCTGTCATGCAGGAAAAGCACAATGAAAGCACCCCCAACAGATGGAAATCCAGTCTTTTTAATAATAATAATAAATAATAAATAATAATAATAGCAGAAAACCCATGGGCCATCCAGTTCACCTCCCTTCTGTCATGCAGGAAAGGCAAAATCAGAGCACCCCATGAGCAATAGAAAGAAATAGGGTTTTGGAAGCAAGCAAAGCAAAGGAGAAACCATCAAGTATTGTCATCTTTTCTAATGAGTTGCCGTCCTATAATTTTAACCCTGTGTTTTATATTCACCACATTAAATATGTACATTGTTGTTGCTCTTACATGAAGGATTTTCTAGAAGATAATAATGGAATAGTTTGAAGCTCCTATAGCACATCTTCAACACCTTAAACAAAGCAGAAATTCAATTTAGGTTACTCAAACTTGTGCAGTTATGTTCTCAGGAATTGGCAAAGAGCAGGAAAAATATTTGGGAGCCAGTCATTTGCTAACAGGAGATGTACTATATAATTAAACTGTCATCCCTGTTGATAGCTTATTACCAGCAGGTAATAAGATATGTGTATCATTACAAGCCATTATACTGTATTTTATGCTGCAAGAGATTGGGGTATGTTGTCAATGACAGCACAGAGTGATCACTTAGAGATTGTTACCATTATGGACATTATAAATCACAATCTACAGTTTAATAGTTTAACAATTATCTACACTGCCAGTGCTAGAGAATTACTAGCAATGAATGGCTGCTTTTTCCACTGGTAAAGAGTGAACGTTAACAAGCCGTATTGCAAGAAATCCCAAAGGAACTGTAGAAGAGGTGGTTTATACTGTTTTTCTCTAATTCTGCATAACTACGTCTATAAATAAAAACAAACGACGAGAGCATTAAAGCACAATAATAAAACACTTAGAGTGAGCTCACTAAAATCAGTTGATTCCTCAGAGATGGAGGCAAGTGATCACTCCAAGCATGGACCCAAAGGGCCTTGCACAGTCTATATGCAAATTCAGCTTGAGAAATGTTGCTGCCTGCTCAAATACAGTATCACTCTTCATCTAAAGAAGCCAGCCAAACTCCAGTGGAACCTCTACTTAAGACCATCTCAACTTAAGAGCATTTTGAGTTAAAAGCTATTGCTGGGTCAGAGTTTTCCTTTGACATATGAGCAACATTTTGAATTAAGAGCTAGCACCAGAGGTAGGGCTAGCATGAGAGTCCAGGGCTTTAGGGCTTCAAGGGAGCAACCTCTGTGCCTTGTACTCTTGTCTACTTTGGAAGATTGCTGTCTTGTCCACTTTGAGGAACTTTAGGTTAGTGTTGATTTTATTCCTGGTATGTTTGGCTTTATAGGGAGAGGGAGAGAAAGATAGGAAGGGAGGTTGGAATGAATATGAAGAAAATGATGCTTCTGTCTCTTCACTTTGTGCTTCCTTGCCACAACTTTGTGCTTCTACCATTTTAAAGTTGAGCTTTTTTCTTTATTGTTCCATATGAATGTGCATTTATACATTATTTGTTATTTTTAGAGTACGTTTTCTTATTTTAAAATATGTAACAAAAAGGGAGGGCTGGGGGGCAGAACAGCTTAATAGCATTTCAGTGGGCAAATTCACTTTGAGATAATAGCATTTTGAATTAAAAGCTCAGTCAAGGAACATATTAAATTCTTAAGTCAAGGTATCACTGTTATAGGAATCTTCCTTTAATGCTAGTGGTAGGACAGGTACTTCCTATGCCCCCAATTTGCTCAAAATGATCTTCAAAAAACAGCCCAAAAGTGGCTACAAGTTTTGCCAGTGTTTGGAAAGGACAGGGCTACCAGTAGTGGAACTAAGCACTGCAGAACTAGTTTGTTTGGTTTTATCCTACAAGAGTTATGAGCTGTTCCTTGTTTTATATTGGAATTCTGACAATCAAAACTTAATTCTGCCGAAGAACACAGTTGACTTGTGAAGAAACAAAGTTGTTCATATGAATGAATGCCTTTCTTTTAATGCACACCCGATTTCCAGTCATATTCAAAGTTAGTTTCTCCTTTGTTAACCTGAGTGATTAAAGTTATGCTAATCAGGAAAAAAGTACAGTATAGGCTATATTTAAAAATAGGGTGAAGAGTGTTGGAAGAGACCAAATGTTGTATAAATAGCTTGAAAACAGCTAGTATAAAACTGAGTTCTGTCAATATCACAGTCAACCTTAAACTCACAATGCAACTAGACTGTGGAACTAATGCAGTTTGGAACCACTTTAACTGTCAAATGCTGTGGAATGATAGGAGCTGTAGTTTTACAAGGTCTCTGCCAAAGAGTGCTGGTGCCCCACCAAACTATAACTCCCAGGATTCCATAGCATTGAGACATGGCAGTTAAAGTGTCCTTCAAGCAGCAGGCTAAAACATTTTTATTCAGGCAGGCTTTTAAAAATGAAGGTGTTGTAAGATCAACTGAAGAGGTGCTGTATTTTTTTAAAACTTTGAATTTGTTTTAATGGTTTTTAACTGGGAATTTTTATACTGTTTATATTTAATCCTGACTTAATGTATAATAACATAATGTAATTAAATAATATAATATAATATAATATAATATAATATAATATAATATAATATAATATAATATAATATAATATATAATATAATATAATATAATAATATAGTAGTAGTAGTAGTAGTAATAAATTATTATTATTATTACTACTACTACTACTACTACTATATATTATAATAATGTGTGATGCAATACAACAGCCATCTTGTTTGCTGTGAACTAATGTTGTTGTGTATCAAACAATAAACTGGAAAAGCTGGCATGATATGAAGATTTAAAGATCGAACTGCAAAGCCTGAAAAGGTTAACGAAAATGAACACATCAAACTACACTTCTGAATTCAGACTGATAGAGTTTTGGAACACAAATGAACCTCACGAATGTGGAAAAAACAAAGTTAGGATCGTCAACATTGCAAGGCCATCCTACTGGGATCTGCACGCATTATTCGCTGATAAATCACACAGTGCTAGACACTTGGGAAGTGTCCGGCATGAGATCCAATACAACGGCCAGCATAGTTATCTTACTTGCTGTGTACTAACCTTGTTGTGTATCAAATAATAATAATAATAATAATAATAATAATAATAATAATAATAATAAAAGTGATATCAAACTGCATTAATTCTACAGTGTAGTTCCACCCTCAGACTCTCAAACTTAAATGAACTGAGAGATTGTTTACAATAGTGAATGTGATCTAAAGCTTGAGTCCTTCAGGGAGAAAGCAATACAATGCCTAACCAAAGAGGAGGTGTTGCTAACACACCACTGTTACACATTTTACCCTTCCATGAGTGGGGTGGAATCTAGTCTGTAAACTGAAAAGTTTAGCTCCCAATATAAGCTGCTACTGCATTTCCACCACTTTCTTTTACGTGAACGTCATTTTCTCATTAGGCAGAACCAAATGCTGCTGGCTTTTTTGCAATACAACTGCCCAGACAACTTGGTGTTGCCCAAAGCACTATTTGTTCCTCCTTGCTCTGTTTTATTTAACACTCCTAGCTAAGCAAAGGGTAGCAGAAGGAAACATTAAAAAGTCAATTTTTAAAACACACAGGGCCACCATTCTCCAGTCCGATACAGAGTCTTTGGCATGCAGCTGATGCTGGCACTTGTTCTCAGTTTACACACATAGCAGTCACATAGCAGTCACCACTCTGATCAAATGGATTAAGAGGGACCACGATCTCTCTTGCAAGCTGGACTTGCTCTGAGATCACCCAGTCTCCTCCCTCATCTATTCTTATACTCATTGACCTCAGACTGTACAATACAAACACACACACACAACACATGCTACTTGCCCCACAATAAAAACAGCAGCTAAATAAATACAAAGTTTGCTCTGGCAGCTTCTCCACAGGAAAAAGAAGCTCTTCTGTTCTATGCATCATTCCACTAAATAACAATTTATTTATGAATCTGCTTTAGTTCATTATCCAGACACGTCAATGATTCATGCATAAATGTAAATCCCATCTCAATGACACTTACCCCTCCCTGCTGCTTCTTGAAATATGTACTGCTAGAAGTGATAGCTCTCCAGAATTAGGTTTCTGTTTTCAACAAGATATTCAAGTGTTGGGCTGTGACTCTGGTGATCAGGCTCAAATCCTTGCTCATTGGTAAGTCACACACTCTCAGCCTCTGAGGAAGGCAAAAATGAGCTCCCTCTGAACAAAGTCTGCCAAGAAAGCATCACGGCATTTACACTGTAGAATGAGTACGGTTTGAAACCGCTTTGACTGTAATGGCTCACGTGCTGTGGAATCATGGGAGTTGTAGTTCTGCAAGATCTTTAGTTCTCCCTGCCAGGAAGAGGGCTGGTGTCTCACCTAACTTTAACTCCTAGGACTACATAGCATTGAGACAAGGCAATTAAAGTGATCAAACTGCATTCGTTTTCAGTATAAATATACACAGAATCAATGTGTTGTCGAAATCTTTCATGGCCAGAATCACTGGGTTGCTGTGACTTTTCCAGGCTGTATGGCCATGTTCCAGAAGCATTCTCTCCTGACATTTCACCCACATCTGTGGCATGCCAACATCTCCCAACAAAGTGCAATGACCCAGGACTGTTAACAAACAATGACTATGTATTTGTGTGATATGTGATGTTATTCTATGTGATGTGTTTAATAATGTTTAATGTTTCATCAGGGGAGGGTAAATTTTGATGTTTTATACTTTACTGATGGCATTTAATTGTTGCCAACACTGTGAACCACCCTGAGTTCCCTTCAGGGTTGAGAAGGGCAGTATACAAATACTGCAAATAAATATAGATAAATAAATAAACAAAGTATTCCCTCAGAAAGGAAGCAACCAGGCTTTGAAGCTGCAAGGCCATTCAATGCTAATCAGGGTGGCCAATTGCAACATTCACACTTGCCTCCAGCAGACTAGAGTTCTTTCTCCCACCCTGGACATTCCACAGATATATAAACTCTACTCGCCTGGTTTCCAACAGACCTCAAACCTCTGAGGATGCCTGCCATAGATGTGGGAGATAATGCTTCGGGAGCATGATCATACAGCCAGGCCATACAGCCTGGAAAACTGACAGCAACCCATACACAGAATCATCTCAGGATCATCATATGTCAGAAAGGAAAGCAAACAAGCACAACCTCAGCATGGTAAACACTGCCATTTACGTGCTTACTAAACATTTGATTTGTCAACTTGCCTTCTTATGTTTCCAACTACACATTATCAGTTTTCAGGCTGCACTTTTTCTCTGTATCCAAAGGCACACTTTAAAAAAACCCAAATAAACCATTGCTTCCCTAACCACAACCAGACCTTCAGGTGTTACTGAGAAACCACAAAGTTTGGCACAAGTGGCTTAAGCAGCTTAAGCGGCTGAGGGGGGAAAGGAAAGGGCCTGAGGCCAGGAGTTGAAGTCCAAAACACCTGGAGGGCCAAAGTTTGCCTATGCCTGGTGTAGAACCACAACTCCCATTGTTCCACAGCTGTTAAAGTGGAGTCAAACTGCATTAATTCCACAGTGTAGGAAATATTTCCCCCCTGCAATCATTTGCTGCAAGGAAATAGAAATAATGACAGGCTGAAAAGCAAGAAGGGGGAAAGATTCCTTTGCCCTGTTGCTTTTCGAGCAGCCAACGCCTCAATATTGCTTAAGTCAATACAAAGTCCTGCAAAGCTTCGAGAAAACACAACAAGAACTGGAAGCAACCTAGGCGCGCAGGGAGGAGAGGCTTTGGTGTTGTTTGTCCCCACTTCACCAAGGGGTCCAGCCACCCCGAAGGTTGCCTCCCTTGCCCCCAATGGCTTTTTGTCGTCCCCCCCCCCCCCCCCCCCCCCACTTTCGTTTGTGTGGGATCAAAGAGACTTACGCACTTGCGGCTCAGGCCGGGGTGTTGTGGGCTCTGCTGCTGGGACAACTCCGCCCCACATCTGGAGCTTCAGGCGTCCAAGTCCCAAGGAAACTGACAGAAGAGAGAAGGAAGGAAGGAAAGGGAGGGAACAAGCCAGCCAGCCTCCACTCCCTCCCAGCCAGAGGACACGAAGATACCTTTATTAGGACTTCCATGCAAAGAACGCAAATGCCTTGCACTCTTTTCCAAACAAGCTGCATCTACACAGCACTACAGGGGTGCATCTACACACTGTGGAATTAATCAAGTTTGATACCACAGTAGCTGTTGTGGGTCAGTGCTATGCAATCACAGGAGTTGTATGTTTACATGCTCTTTAGCCTTTTTTGCCAAAGAATGCTGGTGCCTCGCCAAGCTATAACCTTAAGGTTATTGTTTGATTCCAGATAGGAATAAATCAGGGCCGGCTAGCACCTAACAAAGAATTCCCCCGCGAAGCACCCAGCCAGGCTTTGAAGCTGCAAGGCCATTCAATTCTAATCAAGATGGCCAATTACAACATTCACACTTGCCTCAAACAGACAAGTAATTTGTAAGTTCAAGAATGATTGAAGCTCTGTATGGTCGAAGGCTTTAATGGTAAAATCACTGGGCTGTTGTGAGTTTTTGGGGCTGTATGGCCATGCTCCAGAAGCATTCTCTCCTGACGTTTTGCCTGCTTCTATGGTAAGCATCCTCTTCTCTGTTTGAGGTAGGTGTATCAGTATTAAAAAAAACTCTAAAATCATAACAATAAATAAAGAACAACACTCAAAAACAGGGGAATTCCGGGCAAGAAACATACAGGGCCAACTAATCACTCCCCAACAAAGGATTCTCTTTTAGGGCAAGAGGAACAACTGCACCTTCTCTCTCTTTCTCTCTCTCTCTCTTTTTTTACATCTATCTCTTTTAAAAAAGAAAAAAAATAGGGGGAAGATAGCTCTTCCCGCTACTATCTTCTGCCATACTGTTACATAGATCAAGGATTCCGCATTTCCATGGTTTCATTGATCCATATCTGACAAAATATATCATTTCTAGGCATTATGTAGGTTCTCCTGCATGTCTCTAGCAGACATTCCCAAACTGTGCTCCTTCAAATGTTTTGGATTTCAGCTCCCACAATTCCTAATAGCTGGCTGGGATTTTTGGGACCTGAAGTCCAAAACACCTGGAGTACAGTTTGGAAAACACTGCTCTATGGCATTCATAGATCAGAGGTCAATGGGGCTCGCTATTATCTGGGGCTGCAGTAGCACAGCAGATTAAACCGCTAGTTGCAGGAAAGCTGCTGACCGGAAGTTTAAAAGCCGTGACTGTCAGCTCTAACTTCTGCCTACCTAGCAATTCGAAAGTGTCTGATGTGAGTAGATCAATAGGCGGGAAGGTAAAAGGGCAGCCCATGCAGATATGCAGGCATCTGGCAACAGAATCAGAGAGATCTATGGACAACAGGCTCCTTGACATGGAAAAATGGAACAAGAGCACCTCCTCATGGCTGAAGTTGAGCATTGCCTCCAGATGCCAGAGATGGAAAAAAGAGGAAGTCCTTTCCCATTGTCTGTGTTGTATGTTGTTGTTCATTGTTGTGTAAAAAGGCATTGAATGTTTGCCTCATATGTGTATTGTAATCCACTCTGAGTCCCTCCGGGGAGATAAAGCGGAATATAAATAAAGTGTATTATTATTATTATTATTATTATTATTATTATTATTATTATTATTAGAAACACAACAAGATGAGTCCACGGCAGACACTCTGCTGGCTGTTGAATTGGATCACATGTCAGACACTTCCCAAGTGTCTAGGACTGTGTGATTATCAGTGAATAATGTGTGCAGATCCCAGTAAGGTTACCTTCTGCAGCTGGCAGATGGTAATTTTGTCAGCGCCGATTGTGTTTAAGTGCAATCCAAGGTCTTTAGGCACTGGACCCAGTGTGCCGATCACCACTGGGACCACCTTGACTGGCAGTTCGATCCTTAAATCCTCATATCGTGTCAGCTTTTCCAGTTGTTTCTCTGCAATCCTGCTGTCACCTGGGATTGCGACATCAATGATCCATACTTTGTTTTTTAATATGATTTTGAGGTCAGGAGTATTATGCTCCAAAACTCTGTCTGTCTGAATCTGGAAGTCCCAGAGGAGTTTGGCATGTTCATTTTCGGTAACTTTTTCCGGCTTGTGATCCCACCAGTTCTTTGTCACAGGCAGATGGTATTTGTGGCACAAGTTCCAATGAATCATCTGAGCAATGGTGTTATGCCTCTGCTTGTAGTCTGTCTGTGCAATCTTCTTGCAGCTGCTGAGGATATGATCTATTGTTTCATCTGCTTCCTTACAGAGTCTACATTTGGGATCTGTTGTCGACTTTTCAATTCTGGTTTTGATGGAATTGGTTCTAATGGCTTGTTCTTGGGCTGCCAGAATCAGGCCCTCTAGCTCCTTTTTCAGAGTCCCATTTGCGAGCCGCAGCCATGTTTTTTCTTTGTCAATTTGGCTCCCAATTTTTCCCAGGAACTGTCCATGGAGAGCCTTCTTTTGCCAGTTTTCTCTTCTGCTCTGCATTGTGTTTTTTACGGAATTCCCTCTTTGTCTTTTGTACTTTAAGCAGTTTACTACTATTGACTTCCCTCAATGTTGGTTCTTGACTGCCTTTCACATAATCTGCCAGTGCATGCTTCTCTTCTTCTACTGTTTGTTTCACTTGCAGAAGCCCTCTGCCTCCTGCTTTTCTGGCAGGTAAAGTCTGTCGACATCACTACGCGGGTGTAATGTGTAGTGGATTGTCATCAGTTTTCTTGTTTTTCTGTACAGATCATCCAGTCTGCTTATGTCCAGTTCACAATCCCAGCAGTGTATCTAATGATGGGGATGGCCCAGATGTTGATAGCCTTGATCGTATTTCCGCCATTTAATTTGCTCTTCAAAACCTTTCTGATTCTTTGGATATATTATTATTATTATTATTATTATTATTATTATTATTATTATCTGTAGTTTTGTATATATACCTGAGATCCTGAAGCATATCCCCCAGAGATACAATGCTCATAGTGTATCCCTCCTCCATTTCTATGCATATCATTCTATAAATGTGGGGCTTGTTTACAAAAGGTACCAAATCAAAAGAAATGTGCTGAGGGTATGAATTCTTTTGCTATAAAATGCAATTTCCAAGTTCTGTATTGAAGTGATTTCACTTATTTATTTTGATGGGTTTGATCAGTGTATAATATTCTACTCCTAGCCAACAATGTGCTACCACCTATGGCTGATTTTTTTTTTTTGAGGGACTTGGTATCTTTTGGAACCAAACTCCACAACAATTCTCAAAATTGTGCAGAGTCACTCCAAATCCCCCTGCTTCTTAAATGGTTGAAATGGACCCAAACCTTCCACATCCATTCCCACCATAGTACAACCTTCTTGTGTGGTCCAGTGGGTTCAAACTACAGGAAAGGTGATTCCACCTGAACATTAGGAAGTGCTTCCTCACTGTGAGAGCTGCTCAACAGTGGAACTCTCTGCCCCAGAGTGTGGTGGAACTCCTTCTTTGGAGGCTTTTAAACAGAGGCTGGATGGCTATTGGCTGGAAATGTGATTTTTCTGATTCTCGGCAGGGGGGTTGCCTGGATGGTCTCTTCCAATTCTTTGATTCTATCTACCTGAATATCTATTATTCTATTAACAGTTCCCAAAAATAGCCCCCATTCCAAATGCAGTTTCCCACTCTTTCTTTAAGAATTGCAAACAAACAAATGCATCTCTTAGACTGGAAAAAAAATCCACATGTCCCCATCCCTGTCCCACCCACATGAGCAAGCTATCCATTAAGGGCCTTTCTTTGTGTCCTTTCCTTTCATTTAGATAAATTAAATTGGTGGCTAACAAGATACATGTCTAGGCTTCTCATTAAAAAAAGACATGGAAGTTTAGCTAAGTTTCTAAGTAATGTGTTTTTCAATATTTCATTTACTTCATTGTACCAATAATTGTTTCCTAACTGCAGCAGAGGCACTTTCGTGTTATTTTCATTTAAGTATAGGCTTTATAATTTTTTGTCTGTTTTAGATTGTTTTTATTTATGTGCTGCATAGAAAATGTTGGCACATGGAGAAAAGGTAGGAGCCCCTAGTGGCACAGTGGGTTAAAGCGCTGAGCTGCTGAACTTGCTGACCGCAAGGTCCACAGTTCAAATCTGGGGACTGGGAGAGCTCCTGCTATTAGCCCCAGCTTCTGCCAACCTAGCAGTTTGAAAACATGCCAATTTGAGTAGATTAATAGGTACCACTCTGGCAGGAAGGTAACGGCACTTCATGCAGTCATGCCGGCCATATGACCTTGGAGGCATCTACAGACAATGCCAGTAATTCAGCTTATAAATGGAGATGAGCACATTTATCTACCTTTACCTATGGATAAGGTGTAGGTAAAGGTTTTCCCTCGAAGTGATTGGCTTGATTCTGAAGGAGCTGGGTTGGTGACGGCCAACAGGGAGCTCTGGCGTGGGCTGGTCCATGAGGTCACGAAGAGTCAGAAGCGACTGAACAAATAAACAAAACCAAAGGTTTTCCTCTGACATTAAGTCCAGTCATGTCCAACCCTGGGGGTTGGTGCTCATCTCCATTTCTAAGCTGAAGAGCTGGTGTTGTCCATAGACACCTCCAAGGTCATGTGGCCAGCATGACTGCATGGAGTACCGTTACCTTCCTGCAGGAGTGGTACCTATTGATTCTCATCATCAGAAGAGTCAACAAAAAGAGGAAATCAAGGCCAAAGAGACCAGAGGCAAGGAAAGATTGTATTGATTCAGAGTTTTACTCTAGTCAGGACCAGCAAGTGGATTATACCTATATATAATGCTAATATATTCCAAGCCAGGTATCTTTCGGTGTAAAATGCTATATAGGTTGTGCAAAGGAGGTATGACCTGGCATTTATAATGAAAGAGTCGTTTGACTACACTGAGATTTGTCACATTGGTAAAAAGGATAAGGAGACAAAACATAAGATTGAGAACTGGAAAATCAATTTGTAAACTCAATTTCATCTGGCGCCTGAAGGAATGGGAAATGATTCAGGTATCACTGACTCACCCACTCTCCTAGATAGGAAATAAATTCCCTTATGCGGCCTGCCTGCTCTTAAGAGGTTAAAATAGATTTGCTTTTTTTAAAAAAAAATTTAGAAGAAGA